GCGTCATCCCTCTCTCTCTGCAGCACAGCATTCTCCGCCACGGCGTCATCCCTCTCTCTCTGCAGCACAGCATTCTCTGCCACGGCGTCATCCCTCTCCCTCTGCAGCACAGCATTCTCTGCCACGGCGTCATCCCTCTCCCTCTGCAGCACAGCATTCTCCGCCACGGCGTCATCCCTCTCTCTCTGCAGCACAGCATTCTCCGCCACGGCGTCATCCCTCTCTCTCTGCAGCACAGCATTCTCTGCCACGGCGTCATCCCTCTCTCTCTGCAGCACAGCATTCTCCGCCACGGCGACATCCCTCTCCCTCGGCAGCACAGCATTCTCTGCCACGGCGTCATCCCTCTCTCTCTGCAGCACAGCATTCTCCGCCACGGCGTCATCTCTCTCCCTCTGCAGCACAGCATTCTCCGCCACGGCGTCATCCCTCTCCCTCTGCAGCACAGCATTCTCCGCCACGGCGTCATCCCTCTCCCTCTGCAGCACAGCATTCTCTGCCACGGCGTCATCCCTCTCTCTCTGCACCTGGTCAATCGCCGCCACGGCGTCATCCCTCTCCCTCTGCAGCACAGCATTCTCCGCCACGGCGTCATCCCTCTCTCTCTGCACCTGGGCAATCGCCGCCACGGCGTCATCCCTCTCCCTCGGCAGCACAGCATTCTCCGCCACGGCGTCATCCCTCTCCCTCGGCAGCACAGCATTCTCCGCCACGGCGTCATCCCTCTCTCTCTGCACCTGGGCAATCGCCGCCACGGCGTCATCCCTCTCCCTCTGCAGCACAGCATTCTCCGCCACGGCGTCATCCCTCTCCCTCTGCAGCACAGCATTCTCTGCCACGGCGTCATCCCTCTCTCTCCGCACCTGGGCAATCGCCGCCACGGCGTCATCCCTCTCCCTCTGCAGCACAGCATTCTCCGCCACGGCGTCATCCCTCTCCCTCTGCAGCACAGCATTCTCTGCCACGGCGTCATCCCTCTCTCTCCGCACCTGGGCAATCGCCGCCACGGCGTCATCCCTCTCTCTCTGCACCTGGGCTATCGCCGCCACGGCGTCATCCCTCTCCCTCTGCAGCACAGCATTCTCCGCCACGGCGTCATCCCTCTCCCTCTGCACCTGGGCAACCGCCACGGCGTCATCCCTCTCCCTCTGCAGCACAGCATTCTCCGCCACGGCGTCATCCCTCTCCTTCTGCAGCACAGCATTCTCCGCCACGGCGTCATCCCTCTCCCTCTGCAGCACAGCATTCTCCGCCACGGCGTCATCCCTCTCTCTCTGCAGCACAGCATTCTCCGCCACGGCGTCATCCCTCTCTCTCTGCACCCGGGCAATCGCCGCCACGGCGTCATCCCTCTCCCTCTGCACCTGGGCAATCGCCGCCACGGCGTCATCCCTCTCCCTCTGCAGCACAGCATTCTCCGCCACGGCGTCATCCCTCTCCCTCTGCAGCACAGCATTCTCTGCCACGGCGTCATCCCTCTCCCTCTGCAGCACAGCATTCTCTGCCACGGCGTCATCCCTCTCCCTCTGCAGCACAGCATTCTCCGCCACGGCGTCATCCCTCTCCCTCTGCAGCACAGCATTCTCTGCCACGGCGTCATCCCTCTCTCTCTGCACCTGGGCAATCGCTGCCACGGCGTCATCCCTCTCCCTCTGCAGCACAGCATTCTCCGCCACGGCGTCATCCCTCTCCCTCTGCAGCACAGCATTCTCTGCCACGGCGTCATCCCTCTCTCTCTGCACCTGGGCAATCGCTGCCACGGCGTCATCCCTCTCCCTCTGCAGCACAGCATTCTCCGCCACGGCGTCATCCCTCTCTCTCTGCAGCACAGCATTCTCTGCCACGGCGTCATCCCTCTCCCTCTGCAGCACAGCATTCTCTGCCACGGCGTCATCCCTCTCCCTCTGCACCTGGGCAATCCCAGTCACGGCGTCATCCCTCTCCCTCTGCAGCACAGCATTCTCCGCCACGGCGTCATCCCTCTCCCTCTGCAGCACAGCATTCTCCGCCACGGCGTCATCCCTCTCCCTCTGCACCTGGGCAATCGCAGTCACGGCGTCATCCCTCTCCCTCTGCAGCACAGCATTCTCCGCCACGGCGTCATCCCTCTCCCTCTGCAGCACAGCATTCTCCGCCACGGCGTCATCCCTCTCCCTCGGCAGCACAGCATTCTCTGCCACGGCGTCATCCCTCTCTCTCTGCAGCACAGCATTCTCTGCCACGGCGTCATCCCTCTCTCTCTGCAGCACAGCATTCTCTGCCACGGCGTCATCCCTCTCTCTCTGCAGCACAGCATTCTCTGCCACGGCGTCATCCCTCTCCCTCTGCAGCACAGCATTCTCTGCCACGGCGTCATCCCTCTCCCTCTGCACCTGGGCAATCCCAGTCACGGCGTCATCCCTCTCCCTCTGCAGCACAGCATTCTCCGCCACGGCGTCATCCCTCTCCCTCTGCAGCACAGCATTCTCTGCCACGGCGTCATCCCTCTCTCTCTGCAGCACAGCATTCTCCGCCACGGCGACATCCCTCTCCCTCGGCAGCACAGCATTCTCTGCCACGGCGTCATCCCTCTCCCTCTGCAGCACAGCATTCTCCGCCACGGCGTCATCCCTCTCCCTCTGCAGCACAGCATTCTCCGCCACGGCGTCATCCCTCTCTCTCTGCAGCACAGCATTCTCCGCCACGGCGTCATCCCTCTCCCTCTGCACCTGGGCAATCGCCGCCACGGCGTCATCTCTCTCTCTCTGCAGCACAGCATTCTCCGCCACGGCGTCATCCCTCTCCTTCTGCAGGTGATTTTTCGCCTTTGTGGCTTCATGTTTTTCTTTACGAGTTGTTGTATTCTCTTCTTTTTCCTTTCTTGATTCTTCAACAGTTGTTTGATTCTCTTTTATTTTGTTGTTTTCTAATTGCGTTACTGTTGCATAATTATCGTTCTCTTGTGTTTGGCTTAATGGCTTTGGAGTGTTTTTCCCCTTTTGGTTTGTGTTTGGTTGAGTTTCCAAATGATAATTGTTGTGGTGTTGATTTTCTTTTTTGTAGGTGGATATCTGGCGCATTAATTCCTCAATGTCGTTCTCTGCCTGTTTCAATGCTTCTTCGATTGCTGCAGCATCGTTTTCTGCAGTTTCTTTTGCTATCCTTGTGATTTTTAGGAGGTGCGTAAGATGTTCGATATTTTGTTGAGCCTGAAGGTTCTTTTCTTTTAATCGTTTGTTTTCCTGTTTGGCGTCACGGTATTTTTCTTGGAGAATTCTCTCCTGGTGTTTGGAGTGTATTGCGTTGCTCTGTGTGTCTCTCAGTGACTTCTCCATGGCTTTTTTTTGTTTTTTTATTGCCACGTTTTCCTCTTTTAGTGCTGTCAGTAGTTGTTGGCCACTCATGCGCGTCGTATCGGCTTCCGTCTGCAGGGAGAACGTGGTGCTTGGAGACCGTGCATTCTTTTTCCGCTCTTCTTTCAGCTGGTTTTGAAGCTCTTCGACTTTCTTCCCCAACGTGTCTCGCTGTTCCGTTAACCATCTGCACTCTTCTTTAATGGTGTCCGTTTCGTCCTGCGCCGCCGCCGCCTTCCATGTGCCATGGCGGTTCTTATTGTTTGCGCGGTATAGCTCTTCGAGCTCCCCCAGTGTCACGGCCATTTTCCTCGTTTCCATCCACGATTGACGTGAAGGAGGATGGGCAACCGGAGAGGAAGAACGCTTCACCTCGTACCCATCAGTATTTAAATGCATCGGCCTGTGTGACGCCCGCCGTAGTTGCGGCACGTAAAGTTGCGTTGGGCTATCACACAGGTGACAATCCTGGCGCATTGTGAATGCCCCGCATGTGTTAAACTGCAAGTTGCTGCTCATATCTCCAAAAGCCACGTCCGTTTTTACGTTGTTGTGTGTTTCGATAAATGTCGATATAAAATATGTGGAGAAAAAAGGCAACTGTTGGAAACACTGTGGGAAATATATATGTGTATGTGTATAGTAGTACTGATGGTAATCACGTCGGCAGTCGCCGTAGACTTCTATTGTTTTTTTTTATCACTTTTATCCTTTCCACTCCACAGCGCAATAAGAAAGAAAAAAAAAAAAAAAAGAGCTAAAGCAACCAATCCGACGTCTCTACATGCCTATTAAGAGAGAACGCAGAGGCAAGAGGTCTCGTCGTGGGAAAACACATTCTCCCTCGTACACAAGACTCAGGATCATCCAAAAATAATAATAATAATAATAATAATAAAGAAAAAAAAACACCACCACTCACAGAAATAAGAAGCAACTCCTCTCAAGCGTCACAATCCGGTTTATTTGTCGTGGGTGTTTGTGGGAGACGCTGGAAGATCCTGTGAGACGAGTCTCTCACGGAGACGGTGCAGTTGGGTCTCAAGCACACGACATCGAGCCTCCAAGTAACTGTTAGTGGCGCGCAAATCCGGCTGCTCGTCCTTATGTCTTTGATCCTTGGGGCCTCCATCCGCCACTGTTTCCTGCTGTGAATCTCGTTGTTTGGTAGACTCCGCCTTTGCCAGAGGGATGACAACCAAAGAATCCCCAACGATGTCAGGCGACACCACGTTGGCAGATGAGGTCATAATGTCTGGCTGCCGCTGCGGAATCTCACTGTCAGAAAAGTGACCCAAAGTGGTTAAGTCCGACTCTCCAACATTGCGCAGGCACTGTTGGAGTGCACAATTGACACGCCTCCCCTCGCCTCCCAACTCTTGCTGCATGAGAAAAAGATGTTCCCGCAGACGTTGAGTCTCCTTCAATAACGCCTGCTGCTCAATCTCCGCAATACCCAGTCGCACGTCGGCTTCCTCAAAAGCAGCCCTTAAACTCTTGTTTTCCTCGATAAGTTCCCTTATCTTACTTGTGCCCAACAAGCGTTGCTTGTCCATCGCCCGCACCTTCTCCTGCAACACATCCCTTTCCATGGTAACCTGCTGGAGTTGATCGTAGTACGCGCGACACTGCAGCTCCACAAGCCTCAACCGCTCCCCGAGACTACTATGTGATGACGCCAAGGCCCCTACCGATACTGGTGGTGGCTCAATATGGCCACTAATAAACTCATTGTTACCCCTCTCTGGTGGTCGCGGTAACTTTTCGCCTTCGTCGACCCCCTCTTTTTCCAAAAACAAATCTAAATTTCGTCCTGGATCAAAGTTTTTGCCAGTAAATGTGGAAGCGCGCAACGTGGTGGCAGCGTCGCAGTTCAAGGTTTCACCACGCATTGCAACAGGCTGGCAGTTGAGGTGTGGCTTGGTGTAGGCCTGCATATCCGTCACCGGAACTACCAGCACTGCGCCTGTCATGTCAAAAAAGGCAAGAGAAAAAAATAGAAAAGGGAAGTAATCAGCAATCAACAGCTCAATCATGCCATATCCTCTCCCTATTTCCTTCAAGAGGCTGTGGACAAACAAAAAAAAAAAAAAAAGAAATACCATCAATAATTGAAAAAAGTCACTTAACATTCCTTTATTCGTATTCACGCCTTTTATGCGGTGGGCGATGTGGTGCCTCCATTTTTCCTGTCAGCACCGCAGCACATTCGCTCAGCAACAGCCGTAGCGTTCCAAGGCGGCCTGTAATTCCACTGGCAGCTGTGCACATGTTTCCCTCCATTCGGGTCGGCAACTATCAATGAAAGGGATGGCCCCTTGAACGACCAACAGCTGCTTCTGCTCCTCATCCACGGTCAGTGCAGCCAGCACGGTGGCGACGCAGCGCACCATCGCAATCCAAACGTGCGACTTTGTAAATTCTCGCTGTGATGTCAGAAGGTGTATGATTGTTCGAATGGCATTGGCGTTTTCGGTTCGATCCACACGCATCGGTATCCGTTCCAGCAGCGCCGGGACAACAGATGAAAGGGGAATGGTAGTCGGTGAGAGAAAGCGCACCATTGTGCATGTCGCAGACACCGCATTGTCTACCGCCGCGGGAATCTCGTCTTGGCTTCCAGCAATTCCCCAAAGTGCCTGCAGCAGTGGATTTATAGCGGAAACGTTATCAAAGCGACATGGAAAGCACTCTACCAATACCCGAAGAAGATATGCACAATTAGCCTTTGCTGAAGATTCGTCAGTTGTCTCAATAAGGTGCAACGCCAGGGCAACGGCAACTTCAATGTAGGGTTCTGATGCTGAACCCATTGCCTCCATGATGGTGGCTATACACCCGGTCGCCATAACAACATCCTCAGATGGGCGATCATCCGCGGCGTAGGGCAAAAGAAAGGGGAAGATGGCATCAAAGTAGGCCTTAAATGATGTTCCATACGCCTTGGCAAATGACTCAATCATGTCGCACACTGCGTCCATCAATACACCGTCGTGGTCCTCCCCAAGATCCACCGCCTCATCTCCTGTGGGCGGGCATTCTTCCTCCTCTTCATCGTCACTATCTTCATTTGACTGCTGGCAGGCGGTACCTTGCTTCAAAAGCGTCTTGACGGACTCCAAAAACACATCAACGCCCGCAATCATTGTTTGAGGACCAAAGTAATCAAACAAGAGTGCAAAAGCGTCACATGCTGACGCCACGACTTCTTTATCCTTCTCCCCATGGATACACGGAAGAAGCGTGTCATTCACCAAACTGTCCAACAACCGACGCGCATGCGAGGTCAGTGTGTCCTGTGCTGTGGACTTCACAACCGGCTCGGAACCCTGGGCTGCTTTCGTAAGCCTCGCAAGTGCCATGAGGGCGCTGCAACGAATACCGCTATGGAAGTGCGCGTCCAAATCACTCAGCGCCGGCCAACAGACATCTATCCATGACATGCCAAAATCCGCAAGAAGTACCTCTGCACAGACACCAATAAAGTATACAGCACTGCTCTTCTCCTCTACGTCCGCCGTCCGCACGCGTGCGTAAATTTCTTCGGCATCACTCTCTTCTTCCGATTCCTCATTGTCCTCATCATCGTTCTTCGCATTACTATTCTTTACATTTACATTACGCATGCAACCCTCCGCCAAAAGGTGCTTGTTTTCGTAGTGGGTTAAATCCTCGTTTATGGTCTGCAACGCAGTGCCAATA